ACACCCTGGAGCTGTAACATGATTTATTATATTATTCATCTGTGATGAAGCTGCGTTTGTGGATCAAGACAAAATGTTTAGAATCAGAAAAACTTCTTGTTTCTTTCATCTCACGTCTCCAGAATCAGAGTTTTCAGTCTGGGGTCGTTGAAAGGTCTGTTAGTGTCTGTTAGTGTGCACAAGACACACACACCAACCACCTCTACTACAGTAACACTGACCCCTGCAGTTCTGTAACTTAGCCACTAGATGTCGCAGGACTCCACAGTAGACAAGACTGTTTCACTCAGCTGCTCCCTCTGCAGGTCTTGAAGAGAAGTTTATTCACGAAGCGCATTTGAACAACTTAAAATAAAAAGTTGATCATCATAAGAGGAAAAAAAGAAATCAAATGATGATGGCAGAAGTCCCTGCTCTGTGAATAACAATTACCCTCTGTTCCATCTGGCTCTGCCTGCTCTTCTCTCTGCTTCTGCTTGAACTTCATATTCCCATAATGCATCACAGCACCTGTTAGCTTGTAGATTCCAATCCTCTCCTCTCCAGTGAAGCCGAGGGTCTCAATAGCGCTCTGAAAGCACATCGGTGAGGATGCTCTGTAAGTTTCATGTTAGCAGTGATGGAAAAAAACATTTCATAGGTGACTTACATCAGTGGCCATTAGTTCCTCACTGTCATCAATACTGGCCACGCTGATCTCCCCCTGGCTGACAAACGGGAAGTCGTAGGGGTTGGTGGTGATGAGGAGAGTCTCTGGATGGGAAATTGAAGACATGCATGAATCTTGCAATATAAAGACACACTGTAAATGGAAAATTGAATTTTAAACGATTTAATATAATGCAGATAAACAAGACATTTGCTGAAACTGTTACCTATGAGCTCAGGCTTTTTGTTGGACATGATCTGGTAGAAAATATGGTAACTCCTCTCTGAAGCCAGCTGAAACGTTACTCTGGATTTTTCCAACAAATCTACCAAAAGAAACAAGACTCACTTAAGCACAGGACTCACAAGAAAACACTGTATACATCTCCACTGTTAAATAGCTCACAAGTTTCAATGTCTGCAGAAGCCAGTTTTCCTGTGGTTCCAAAGTGGATTCTAATGAATTTGCCCTAAGAGAGAAAAAGTAAATGAATAAGTCTGAAAATGTAAATTATAGGTATTAACAAACGTTCTATTTTTTCACTTACAAAACGTGAAGAGTTGTCATTTCTGACAGTTTTGGCATTTCCAAAGGCCTCTAGCAGTGGGTTAGCAGAGATGATCTGGTCCTCCAGATTGCCCTACAGCAGCCGGAAGACAAAAATAAGATGCTATAAATGCTGGAAATGATCATTTCTATAGTTAAAGTTAATAAATAGTTGATAATTTTGCTTCATTGAAAGAAAAACATTCTCACCTGTAATTTTCCAGAGACACTAACATCTTTTTTCCTGTCCCCAGACACTGCGATTGTCGCAAAGTACTGGATGACACGTTTGGTGTTTACAGTCTTTCCTGCACCAGATTCTCCGCTACAGTACGAAAAAATTCACACCAGAAATATCTTATTTCCTCTTTAGTAATAAGTGTCAAAGATAAGTTGTAGCAGTTGCATCTATATGCAGCTAGAGCTTACGTGATGAGGATGGACTGGTTTTCTCTGTCTAGAAAAAGAAACAACACATGGTAATTTGACAGGTGCCAGGCTTAGCATCATAATCTGATAAGACTGAATATAAGGTTAATAGTTTTTTTTTATTATTTGAGATTACCAGTGAGCATGAACTGGTAGGCGTTGTCAGAGATGGAGAAGATGTGTGGTGGAGCCTCCTGACGCTTTTTGCCCCTGTAGGCCACCACCACTTCTTGGTTGTACACCGGGAGCCACTTGTAAGGGTTCACAGTGACACAGAAGAGGCCTGAGTAGGTCTACAATCAAACAAACACACTTGAGTGAACGAGGATTTGTTGATTTAAAAGCCGAAATGTGTATTTTCTCATGCAAATTATCAAATCATAACTTTGTGTCTTCACGTGAGTTATGTCCCTAACAAAGTTATATCTGGTATTTGAAGACCAAGTGTTCAGAACTGTCTGATCACTTGTCTGATTATTCAGAATGAGACCAGTGTGGTAGTTACACTTTTTTAAATATTCACAAAGATAAACATACATATGGGAAACAACATCAAGAGATAGACTCAGCCAGTTAGCTTCATGCTTCATACAAATTTTTACATTTTTATGAGAGACATATCCTCTTAAATCTTCACCTTGCTGTTTTCCTCTGTCTGGCAGTCTTAGATAATGCATCTCCACTATCATACATCACAAACCTATTCCAGTTTGAGGCTGCTCTACACGGCCTCTGTCGAGCAACAGCTCCACATTGTCATGCAAAACCAATGAGCGTCAGCAGCTGAATGTTGTGCGACTCACATAGATCATCCATGCTGCGTATCGCTCTTTGAGGTTAAACAGCACAGCGGCCTCGTTGAGGTGGGTCATCATGGCCATGTCCTCGATCTTGTCGAACTTGGGCGGGTTCATGGGGAAGACTTCGTCATCCCTCACTGTTACAACCTGCGAGGGTGAGGAGAGATGTGCGCTTCATCAGGAAAATAATGCAACAATCTGTGTGCCAGCACTACTCTGCTTATGGAATGAGAGATTTTAAAACTGTACAGCTGATGAAGGAACTTTGAATTTGTATTTTATTTTATCACTATACATTTCTGAAGGGACAGGCTTAAACAATAATGTGTAATATGGCCTAAAAACCAAATACATTTAAATGCGCAGTTACATACCTTTCCTGTGTCGGTTTTAACGGTTGCTTTGCCACCTTCCTTGATTTGCAGACTGCCTTTGGCAAACAGCTCCTTTGGATCCATTACATACACTGCAGTTTTGGCATCGAAGGGCCTGTTCTGGGCTTCGATTCTCTCCCGTTCCGGTCTCCTCAGGTACGGGGCAGCCTCCCCAAACACACTCATGTCAGCGTCCGAACTCATCTCTGGACCGCACCCTTATTGGGGACTGAAAGGTGCAGCGGTGAAAGGTTAGGAGAGTGATCTTACCAACAGATATCAGTCTTTCTAATGAATATTAGCTCTTACCTCTGTCAGCTACAGAAGATCTGCTTTTGGTTCCTCCACCTGGAGACACCTGTATCAGAAACAAGATGGAACCCTACAAGGAGAGACTGTATATATCACAGCCACACACTGACACAGAACAATACCGTCACCAGCAGAAGTCCCTGCTGAAAAATGTAGACGGCTTTGACCCTTACTGCTTTTATAAGGTCCCCCTTGATGCATCAGGAGAGACAGCAAACACCTATATTTAGGTCAAAGCTTCTAATGAATGTGGGCGGAGAGAAGTCTGATTAGCATGATTAGTCTGGCATGTGATATCATGGAGATGTCGCTGATCTTTTGTTATAAATCTGTGGCTGGCAGCAACTGCAGCTCAAGAAAAGAATGAATTCCAAGGGAGGGTGACCTCTGCCAGAGATACAGCGCTCACATGGTTTGTGGTCTGTTTGTTTAGCATCTTGATCACTGGTCACTGGAAGATTTCAAATTTACATCCCTGTGTTTGAAGAGCAAAAGTTATATTATCCATTTAAGCCCTGCAGTTGTCCAAGTAATGTGTTTAGTTATTTAAAGTTTAAGCTAATTTGCTTTCTGTCCAAGTGTGAGAAAATCAGAACTCGCTCACGTTAAGAGCCGGGGGTCATGTCTAACTTAGATTAATATGACTCGATGCTAAAAATATTTGAGTCATGATTTGTACTGCATCAACAAGAAACTACATCAACAAGAAACTATTTCAGCAAGTGGCCAAAACAATACATTTTATACTTAAATGATGAAGTACAATGTTTGAATTAATTTACTTTATTAGGGTTGGTAGACGGCTAGCTGTCTCCCTGCACCTCTTGACCGCAAGGCTAACCCCATCCAGCACATCGACTGAGTATGATGGATGACATGACAGCTTCCAAAAAGTGAAGCCAAAGTGTCTTGATTGCTCCCTAGTGGTTGGCTGCAGTATAGGACATGAACCGTGCCCCATCCATGTTAGCGGAAACGACAATGACCAAACTCAAAAGTCAAAGTACACATCAAATACATTTTTTTCAAAGATGGTTTCTGTTATTTTGGTAGTTCCTACGACTTTGAGGTGTCTTCATTTTTGTGGTAAGTTTAGGTTTAATTAGTTAGCTCCATCCCCCGATCACTACTGTGTAGACCTGGCTCCAAACGAGTTATCACAAGATGCCAGTGTTCGTATCTGGGGTATTTTGGCTTAATTTCTGGAAATTGGGGAGAGTGGTGACTCGACATCCACCATTACAGTTTATGATACAGCCCTTTTCTGATGAGAGTGATGTCAATCTTCTCATCTAGTCCTGTTAAACTATTACGTTAAGGTGTATAGTGTATTATACTTCAGACATGATTTTATATGTATATGAGTTTTCACTAAATGAACATAGAATATTTTGTCTGGTATGATTATGATCACTTTCAAACAAAACTGGCAAAGGTTTTGAATTAGATTAATGTCACTTCATCTTTTCTTTTTATCTTGGATGGTTAACATTGTGTGTAATTGCACACATTTCAATATTTAAGTAACATAAACAATTCCAGGCTTATTAACTGTTTTACACTAAATGTAGCCATGACCCTTGCTATTGCTTTGACAAGCTTATAAATAAAGGCATAGCTGATGAATCCCTCAATAGAAATTCCTTTAGAGATTAGAGTGGGCTAATAGTCGTGTCAGAGATTTGGAGCTCTCTCTTTTCTCCTGCCATCGTCTCCCAAACAATCAACTCTGAGGCACATCAGAGGACAACGGGGGGGGAAGGGAAGTGACATGTTGGGAAAACAGGGCCGCCACGAAAGAAAACACTTTTAACCTGAGATATATTAAATATGTGAAAGATGAAAAGAACAGTTAGATATGGAAAATTATGAAATTAAATTAATTCAAGATAATACTTGATATTCTACTTAAACAAATTGATTTCGATTTTTGGAAACATTTACGTTAATTTAAAGAATCAATAAGATGAAAAGATTGATATCAGACGCAGAAAGTACAGAGAGGGAAGTCTGAAAGAGGAAACAGCCGGCATGGTTCTGTCCAAATTTAAGGGTATGGCAACCAAGTGATTTGATGCTAATATGTTGAACCAAAAAGGTTCACACATTTTGTATTTATCCTGAAGTTATGTGCCATCACAGTTTCGTTAACATCCGATTGTCCATTATTTCTGTGCAGCTTGTTTTGTCCTAAATTTATAATACATGCACATAATATATTTTATTACTTAACTGTAGCATGGGATCAAAAACTTTCCTTTATTGACATTTCTGTTTCCCCTTTCTATACATAGGCTTTGCACTGAATTCACCACAGTCCGGCTTCGGCTCCATATTTAACACACAGACAGAAGTTTGATATTGATTTTCTTATCTCATGCTTGGAAAGAAAGCAAATAAGCATGTTTTCCATAACACAACGCTTTCTTTCTAGATCTTTAATGATTTTATTATGACAATTGGTGTGGATAAAATGCATCTACATTCAGACTAAAGCGACCAACCTAATGTTACATGTCATGAGGTGTAAACAAGGTGTCAGGGCATCGAAATGAAGTAAACAACTCTACCGGCTTTGAGTGAACGGAGGTCTTCAGACCGCTGTCAGTGTGAGGAGAGGAAGATTAGGTGCCTGTAAACTGACAAGGGGGGTGCTAAATCATGAACAAGCAACCAATGAACTTGTGGCTCACACTGCCTCCATCATAAGTGTGGTCCTCTTCATAGGTAATACATCAGGCATGGGATATTTTTAGGGACTTTCCTCCAGAGGACAATGAGAGTCAGTTTGGGGATAATGATGCAATGCAAACTGCCTTTAATTTGCCTATTTTATAACTGACATGTGTGTTTTCTATTGACTCAGTGACTGCTCCAGACCTTTTGAGAATCACCTCCTCGTGGGTCTCAGAAAGCCACAGAGAATGCAGGGGGCAGCATCGAGTTCATTCTAATCTTTAATGCGACAGATGGTAAAATCTCATGGCTTATGAGTTAATGTCAAGTCAAGTTCAAGTTGTCTAAATAAAGGGCTGCTAAATTGAGATTACTCAGTCTATTACGTGTCAGAGATGCACATTGATATCACTTGATGGACAGCAGATAACAATTGGTGCTGCCTGAGCTAGAATGTATTAATTATCTTTAATAATACAATAAAGCAATAGACTTTGGCAAACTGAATTGATTTGAATGTAAATGTCCTGTGTATGGTCTGGTCTGTGCTTACTAGTCTTGATGACCGCTCAAAGAGTTTTACAGTGCAATTTTGCCATGCACCCCTTCACACACACATTAATACATGTGATATGTGTTCTGTGTGCAGTACTTTCTCTTTCACACATCACACACTGCCAGCACAGCCGTCAGGGGCAATTTGCGGTTCAGCGTTTTGGCCAAACACACTTGGGCAAGCAGAATGACTGGGTTCAAACCACCGACCCTCTGGCAAGTGAACTTCTCCCTTTCTCTTTGTCTCTCCATCCCCTGAGCCTGGTTCTGTTCGAGGTTTCTCCCTGTTAATGAGTTTTTCCTGTACAGTCGCCAAAGTGCTGCTTATTGTGGGAACTGTTGGGTTTAAATCGATTTTAAAGTCTTGACCTTCTATGTAAAGTGCCTTGAGGTAATGTATATTATGATTTGGCGCTATACAAATAAAATTGAATTGAAATTAAATAACCCAGATGAGCCACAGTTGCCTATATGTACATTTGATAAATAGAATGGCTGTTTTCAAAAATTCAGAAAAACTGCCTTAAGAGAAAAAGTCCTGGATATCATGACTATAAACCCTGCCTTCAAAACACAGACGTTTCAGGTTATCTGTGTTGTATTGTTCATCAAAATGTTAACTGACAGTCTTAGCTTATATGATCCAGCTTCATCCACCAGTGTCTTTTGCTCAGTCAAACTTAAGGGAATTTCTCAAAAGTCATTTAGTTCTGAAATATGGAGATGTTCAGGTCTGGACTCTGATCTTTGGATTTAATATGGTGATGATTGGACAATGCACAGTGGAGTTAAAAAACTGTCCTGTTTCACAGTGAATCACTAGGTGGCGCTATGACCCTGTGTTAGTTTTGACACATGGAGCTCAGTAAACAATTTAATACAATCAATGAAAAAAGGGAAAAATATTCTTTCTGGCTCTGCCTCTGATTGGCTCACCTTGATGTGTCTAACCATCCATCACTCTTTATGCCGAAATCTAACCAATCAGTGACAAGGTAGTGAGGGTGGGCGGGTGTTAACCAACCGGCTTTTGGTCACATGTCAGGCACCGTCGTCATGGCAACTGTAAACTCGCAAGTGCGCTCAGAGTTGTGTGAAGATGTTTCACGTGTAAACTGAACTGAAAGTAAACCTGAACAAGACGAGACGCAACGATGTCTGACGTTGGATCTGATGAGTTCGAGGATGATCGCAGTAAACTGGGGGTGAGAGAACATGCTTAGCTTAGCTTAGCTTAGCTCGATGCTCGTTTAGGTCTGTTGTTGTGATGTTAGCTGATTCAAGCTAGTTTGCACTGGCTAGTGTGTGTGTGTGTGTTGCTCGGTCCTTATGAGGCTAAACTTAATTCCTATGGTCAAAGTAAAGATGTGTGGTTTGGTTAAGATTAAAGTTAGGCATGAATTGGTCATGGTTAAGGATGTGGGTAAGATTTAGGTATTTCTATTAATAATCTATTTTAATCATATATTTTAAGGTGAAGACATGTTTTAAGGTTGGGTTTAGGGTAATGTTAGGCTAAGGGTTGGGGTTAGGCATTAGTAATTATGATTGTGTGTGTGTGTGTGTGTGACTGTGACTGTGTTTTATTTCTTTGACAGGAATACGAAGGTGACAGAAATGAAGCAGGGGAGAGACATGGAGTCGGTAAAGCTGTCCTGCCCAACGGGGACACTTATCAGGGACAGTATGAGTTCGGCAAAAGACACGGACAGGTACGAAGCTGCAGCGGTCTTTGTCAAGTCCAAATCAAATCTACCACTTGCTCTGCTCAAGCTCAAGTCGACTCTATATGGGACTGAATGAATATGATCACACCAAAAACTGTTGCCCCAGTTAGGACAAGAACATCTTTAAATAAACATGTAATCATCATGGAGCTCAGTAAATATACAGTCGATTTCTGCAGCTCATGGCCTCAACGATCACATCAATCAGCACAGTGAGGAAAAAGCATGATTAAAGAAACAAAATATATTCTAAGAGACCAAGCGCACCACATGATGCATTGGACCTACCAGCCTTCAGATGTGGTAAAATGGCTACATTTGAAATCAGCATAGACTGCATAAGTGCAATTTGAATTTACTTTTTTTTTTTACCTTGTGTTACCTTTAAATTAATAATTGTCTTAACTAATACATATCTGTCTTTGACTGTTTTGTCTAACAGGGGACATACCACTTCAAGAATGGAGCGAGATATGTGGGAGACTATAACAAGAACATGAAACATGGACAGGGCACTTTTTACTATCCAGATGGCTCTAAATATGAAGGTAAATCAAACACGTGATACACGGATGGAGTTTTTTTGCATTATTAGTGTGTATTTATAGGGTGTCTGTCAAAGATTAGATTATTAGCTGTAGTTTAGTTTAGCTTTAAAATACTTTTGTTGTCGCCTGTCTCTGTCTGTCAGGGTCGTGGGTAGAGGACCTGAGACACGGTCATGGTATCTACACTTACCCCAACGGAGACACGTATGATGGACAGTGGCTGCGTCATATGAGGTGAATCTACAGCTTTTGAAATCATAAGTGCATGTCGCTGAGATGTTTGTCAGTTTTCATTTCTGCGAGCACACATTCTGCTCCTGGGCTCAGATCAGATCCCGAATTCAGAAGCCACTTTCTACTGTGCCTTCTCTTTTAAAATCCTATGTATATGGTTTTACTTTTTCTAATCACAGAAATCTGCCATAAACGTGTGGATTTGTTGATTTGCAGGTCAAACAATATCTACATTACATTTTTTTGATGTCTAAGGTACATGTGTGGTTTCACCAGCATTATATAACAACACTTCACAATAAATAAGTATCTAATTTAATTGTAAAGTCTCTGGAATGCTGTTAAAATAACAGTCACAAACAAAAACTACCAATTATAGACAATAAAGACAACTTTTTTACCTGCACAATACTAAATGAATTACTAAAAACTCTTTGTCTGATTCCAGGCACGGTCAGGGCATTTACCACTACCATGAAACTGGCTCAAAGTACAAGGGCTCATGGGTGGATGGCAAAATGGAGTCAGCGGGAGAGTACATCCACTGTAACCACCGATACGAGGGTAACTTTGCCAACAATAATGTAAGTTCTGTTTTCATGACTTATTTTTGTGAAAAGCTTTGCTTCAACTGTAGTTACAAGAAATAACTGGAACATTTTAGTTGAACCACAGACTACATAGGGGGACAAGAATGAATGTCCCCCTTACAATGACACATGATTGTCCCCCTTTTAATCCAAAATCATTATCTTCCAACTCTGCAGTTCCCCTCACATGCATGGAATACATAGTATCTTTCAGCTGATTTCCTGTATTTCTTTTTACAGCCTAAAAAAACAATAACATATATATATATATCAATATATAGAAGCATGTAGTAATTTAAGAGCAAGATATCAAACTCTATGTAAGGTCATCGGGTATCTCCAAATGAGTGCTAATACCCTTCACCAAGGAAGTTATGTTTTCATTCGTGTTTGTTTGCCTGTAAGTTAGTTAGCAGGATTACACAAAAACTACTAGATATATTATCAGGAAACTTGGTCTCAAGATGATGAAGACCAGTGATCGGATCCAGGATTTTTTCTCCACTTTCTTTGACATTTGAAGTGTTTTTTTTGTGTTTTCACTAATGTCTCATTGGACTTTTATCGATGAAAATGTGCAATTTGGTGAGTCTTGACTGAATTTAAATTGACTGATTGAGTCGTATGTGCTCTTATTAGTGCTATAATTGTCTTTTTCTGTCTTTAGGATGTGTGAATAGGCATTTACTTTGCTAACATGCTAGCTGTATCAACCTTATAAGGTCATTATAGTGCCAACATGACTTTTAGCTTTTTATTAAGGGAAAAACAAAGTGATGCACCTATAAAGCAGAATAAAATCATTATTTCTGCCAGTTGGGGGCAGCAGAACACAACAGTGACATATTGTTGCATTGTAATGTTGCATATTTACTCTGTCACTTTTTTGTGGTGTCACCAAACTCCAGAAGGAAATATCCAGCTCTTTAACTCAAACTTTTTTGTGTCTGGTGTTGGGTGGTGGGGATGTGATGAGATGAAAGATGCAGAAATGCTTCATACTATGAAGGGAAACTTGTCTGTGTATGTGGCCAATGTCACATTCCACAAAGTCATTTGATCTGCTTCTTAATAATGCTATAAACCTTTTCTAACTTTGTCTGCAGTGTTTTCAGTCAGCATGCCTTCTGATCTGTGTTATTTGTCTTTGCCTTCCTGTTCTCATTTCGCAGCCCTACGGCCCAGGAAAGTATGTGTTTGATATTGGGTGTGAGCAGCTCGGTGAATTCCACCAAACAGAGCAGGTAATACAACATCAACACACTCACATTGTTTCAGCTCAGCGTGTCAGACTGATTTTGTTTCCTTGATTTATATTTTACTACTGTTCTGTACTGTACATGAACTCTGTCATACACTTACACGACATGCTAAGACACGGCATAACCATGACAGCTCTGTTGACTGAACCTCCAGCCAGCAGACATGGAGAACAGTAAACGCATAAGAGCACAGAAGTCGCCCTACCCAGGATTTAGAGAAGCCAATATGGACGAGCAGGTGTTGCCACTGTCCCCGTGAATGACTGACAATGCTGTGTCTTTTCTCAGTAGCATAGATCACTCGGTCAGACGGCGTCTTGCATGAGGTTTTTTGTGTTTTTTTCATGATTTTTCATAAAGATACATTCATGTTGCTGCCACTAGAATGTTTTTGTCAGGCTGCACACATACCTGTTCCATAGACTGTGTTTAAAGGTGGACGATATGACGGCTCTCCAAAAGTGAAGGCAAAAGCGTCTTCATGGCTCCCTGGTGGCCGACTACAGAATAGGTCATTACCCCGCCTCCTCCATGTTCGTAGATGGGACATGGACCAAACTAAAAAGCCAAAATACACATCAAATATATTGTTTTCTGTCATTTTATCACACTGATTTCTGTTCAAGTGTTCATTTTTCCAGTAATTGATGCTATAAAAACTGAAGGGGGAAATGTGGTGATTGACAGCTAAGCCTGACTCACAATTGGTCGAGTGGCTGGATGGGCAGGATCATGTGACCCAATCACTACTGCAAAGACACCGGCTTCAAACGACATCATAGATGGCAGGATGGCAGCACCTGTATCAGAGATGTTTTAGCTTAATTTTTGTACATTTGGAGGAAGTGGAGACATGTCCATCTTGATTACAGTCTATGGCCTGTTCTAAGAGCATGTTTAACATTAAATGCATGATGTGATGGGTCATCTTTGATCACAGGATACTTAGAGAACTTAGATCTGTGTGTGAGATGCAAGATTTGAATGTTTAGTAACTCAACTCTTGACAGGATCAAGCTGAGGGTGAATGGGGCGAGTTGGGGTCCAGTGGCGTCCTCAAGTGGGTTCCCAAGGCCATCACAGGCCTGACAGTGTGGACTCCAGGCAAAGAGACGTCAGGTGAACTTTATTAAATCAAAATGGCAGTGAGAAATACTGCCATGCAGAAATATTGAGACCAGTCTTACTCAGCAGAATCCTAACCACCAGCGACATTTTTGTTAAGCCACCATGTTTTTACACTTAAGGAAAATTATATATATAAATATATTTTGTCTAAATGGATATTTGAATCAGCCTCTGAAATTCAAGCATTTGTTATACTGCATGAGTGAGTATTTACAGAAAACAGACTCATTTCACAGGTTGCCAAAAATACTAGATTCATACCAACATCATTCTCTATTTATGACCACCATGGAAACAAAATGATCTAAAAAAATGTCAAAGCAACAAGACTTTCTGTGCTAAACAGAAGCAATAAATTCAACTTCAGCGCTAATGTGAATAGTTTTCAGTGCTGCTGCTCAATTGACTGGAAAGCTTCAAAAGCAGAACTGAAGAGGCTGAGCAAGTTTAAAATGAGATCTGAAAGGGAAATGAGAATAAAACATAAGTGACCGAAGTGTATACTTAAGTGTGTCTTTTTTTCAGCTGCGGAAAAAGAAACGGCTTCGGCAGAAGACGGAGAAAAGATCTGATCTGTGTGATCGATAGACTGCCTTTGTTTCAACAGTAAAACATAAATAAACTCATCAATATGTAAGCACAATCTGTTGAGCCTGTGTATTTGATTTTTTTTTATATATACGACAGATCAAATGGTGACAAATACAAAGTTCACTGAAGGTGAGGATGCTCTATTTGGCAATGTTGTTTTTCTGCTGTCAACCAAGGAGAAATATTCTGAAACCTTCCAAATATTTGTATGGATCTTTACATTGGGCTTAGTGACAGACAAGTGTGGATTACAGTGTCCTAGAGAAATCCCTTATAGACCCATATAGTTTTTGTGTAAAAACGTTCAGAACTTCTGCAATATTTCTTTGGAAACCAACACAAACACCATGGAACCTATAAGAAATCTTTATTTTTTGACTTCTCTATTTCATAGTTTCATGTATTTCCTCTTACTTTTAGTTCCAGCATGGACATTCTTTTGTTTAATTCAGCATCTGCAGATGGACCCACAACACACAAGGAACCAAAAAATGATATACGTACGAGCAAATGAATGCAGGAATAGAGAAATAGCTGTTTTAATCACAAAATGTATTAACATTTAATTAGTAGTTCTGCATTTATTTATCATTCTTATGATGTATTCTTTCTCTAATAAACATATCGTGTACATGAAATTCAAGAATGAATAAAGTGAACAAACTCTTGTATGGCATTGTATATTTGTATTACAGGTATATGCATGTATTGTATTATATATATATATATTATATTACTTTTATTTTGGAAGGCTATAACAGGAAGTTGCTGCTTTTATTTCGTAGTCTTCGCGGTTGTACCTTTATATACGGTCTATGGTTGTACCCATAGACTGTATGGTTGTACCATAGACTGTATATAAGGTTGTACCGGGTTGTAGTTGTCAGATCACCACCTGATCACTGATCTGAGTCCAGTCGCTTGATGGGACGACAGAGGACAGTGAGCTGGCAGGACTTCATCATGTTTGCAGGTTGTCAGGGAACTGGTCTGTGGTCGGTGTTTCCTGTTTAGTCGGGACATGCTGTAAACCCCGCGGGACGTCACTTGTTATAAACACACGCAGGAGAATGGACGATCAGCCACAGCCTCCTCTGTTCACCTTCGGTGTGATCGCTGACATCCAGTACGCGGACATCGACGACGGCTACAACTTCACCCGGTCGAGGAGACGCTACTACCGCAGCAGCCTCCAGCTGCTGAGGAACGCCCAGCAGGGCTGGTCGGACGCGGCCGTGGCGCCGCTGTTCGTCCTCCAGCTCGGGGACATCATCGACGGCTTCAACAAGGGCCGCGGCGCCTCCGACCGAGCGCTGGACACGGTGCTGAGGGCGTTCGGCCCCGGCCCCGTGGAGGTGCACCATGTGTGGGGCAACCACGAGTTTTATAACTTCAGGAGGAGGGCGCTGCTGAGCTCCAGGCTCAACACGAGTCCCCCCCGCACTGACACCGAGCCTGCGGGCAGCCTGAGCGCGGATCAGGCTGCTCCCGATATCTACGCCTACAGATTCAGCCCGTTCCCCGGCTTCACCTTCGTTGTGCTGGACGCCTACGATGTGAGCCTGCTGGGCAGAGAGGAGTCCAGTGAAGAGTACAGGGCAGCTCTGGATGTGATCAGACAGCACAACAGCAACGAGGACCTCAACTGCCCCCCAGGTACACTGCCCTGATGAAGCCCCCTTCAACTTATATGAAGTATAACTTCAATTTAATTATAAAGGGTCACTGTGATTTAGGGCTTGGCAATAACTGTGAACACTCGGAGACTCTGGCTTGTGATCAACCTCCGTTTTTATGAATCAATATTGGATCATTCAAATGAAGATCCATTTCAGTCAGAGAATAGTTTTTTATACCCAGTCTTATGTCCAACCAGGCAATTCTGACGAGGCAAATTAAATAAACATGATTGGCAGATTCAAATGACACAGGATAAAGTTGATCAATTGGGTGGGCAGAGTAGCAACTGCAAGAGGGGGTCACACTAAAGTTAGTAATAGGAAATCCTCCATAGACCAGACCCTCTCCTTTTAGCCATTGCAGCCTACTCAAGACTAACTCCTTGGAAGTATGCAGCGTCTGAATTTACTTGCTTTTACTATCTGGCAGTCTCCTTCCTTTCTGTCAGTGTATATCACTATGTTTTTATGTTTCTATGTAGTTTCAGGGTTAGAGGGCCTAGAGAGCAGATTTACCATGTTCAACGGTGGGTTCAGTAAGGACCAGCTGGACTGGCTAGAGTATGTGCTGTCGTCGGCCGATGAGAAGAAAGAGAGAGTCACCATTGTCAGTAAGTGGAATCTTTCGTTTTTATAAAATCTGATCATTTGTTACTCCTAGTATCTCTCCATTTGAGTTGGGAAATATGTAAAGTACAATTTACCAGTTGATTATTCAGGCACTGAGATTCAATTGACACACTGGGGTTAGCAGGTGCAGATCCACATTTAGTCAGTATGAACTGTTTCTAATAGACTGACTCTAAAATACTTTAACACTCTTCAGTGTTTCCCAACATTATTATTTACTGCATGTTGTTGTTGTCATGATTTAATAAAATGTTGTTTAAGTGATCAAACCTTTGAGGCGTTCTTACACTGTTACTGACCTGTAGTTGGTGATCAGTGCATGCTCAGGCACATTTAAAATACCAATGCACTACTTTATTGATGGGCTCCCAGGTCTGAAATCATTAATGTTTGCTTAAACCAAATTGTCAATGTGACGATGAAGACTGAAACCTGGCAACCACCAATTATTGTTCTATCACTTTTTCTCCCTTAGGTCACCTACCTGTCCACCCCCACTCCACAGATCCCATCTGCCTTGCGTGGAACTTCGATGAGCTCCTGGCCATCATCAAGTCCCACAGCAGCGTGGTGTGTTTCATGGCAGGCCACGACCACGACGGCGGATACTGCCAAGACAAAGATACTGGCGTGCACCACCTGACGTTGGAGGGGGTGATTGAGACTCCGCCTGACAGCGACGCCTTTGGCACGGTCTCCGTGTACGAGGACAGGATGGTGCTGAAAGGGAACGGAAGGATCGCAGATCGAGTATTTCTGTTTTAATCTCACAGCAGAGGCCTTTGACTTTAAGTTTTATGACTTTACACCCTTGTAGTTTTATTTAAAGGCCAAGGTGGTGAAGTATGGACAATTACTGTATCACAAAACAGTCACTCTGCTGTGTTTTCTAGACAAATGCTGTCATATCCACTTACCTGATCAGAACAGATCAACAACTGCAGTACCTCAAATATTTTATTAAACTTATTTAATAGTAGGAGGAGAGAATAATAGGAGAGTACTGGTTAAAAGCAATTCAGATAATATGAAGTGTATCCAGATAATGGTTGCTTTAGGGGATTACCCATTAAATGCATATTTATATATTTTAAGAGGGAAGTGATTTTTCTTTAAGAATTGCTGAGTTTTTTTTATTGTTTGCTTCTTGCACTAAACTGACTCTCTTACACTCTACTTTTATTGTGGTTAGAAGTTTGATAAGTGAATTGTATTAACTGACAAATATTGATGCCCAGTTATGAGGTGATGAAATCAGCTCGAGATAAGTGCACTTGTTTTGTGTGCAATGTAAAACAATCAGTTCAATGAATAATAAAATTAAAAACTTCATACCAGTAGTTGCACTTTCCTGTTCAGCCGACTGTCACCACCTTATTGCTGTCAGTTTCAATTATATTAAATTGTCTTGCAGTTCATTCTAGTTGATTGATTGTACATATCTGTAGATGGCATTTTCCTTATTGTAGCTATCTCTGAGACAACTGTGTTAACTCCATCCATTGAAGACTGTAAGAGGAATGTAGCACCTGCCATCATAATACAATTCGCTTTACAAACGTAAAAGCAGTCGACTACTACAAATGTCATAAGAAATGTCCTGCAAATGTAATAGCTATTACTAGATAGATTTACGTTTCTCAAAACAATTCTGTGAACTGACAAGGAATGATAAAGCTGCATGTGTGTTTGAGAGAGAGAGAATGACAGACAGTGGAAGAGAACGTAGAAGGTGGACTTGTTAATGCAGAGTCTAAATTGTTTCTGCAAGTTATTTTTAACTTTTTCAGAGCGCTGCTTTGACCCGTTCTGCCCAAACCCATGATATTTTCTAATGAGCTGATTCTAATCGAGCCCATTCGCAGGTGTATATGTAAATAGACAAACTACACTGACGACGAAGACCTTTTTTCATTTTCTATTACATTTGTGGAAGCTGAAGATTTTCACTGTCCCACAAAAGTATCAACACCATGCAAATATAAGAGCTATGACGTTGGCAGGAAGTTACATCTGTGGTATGCAACTGCTATTACATTTGTGAAATTATTATATTAAAAATATTGCAGATTTGTATTAAGCTTGTGGGCTGTTATTACGTTGTTATTAGGTAAGCTAGTAAGGGGACATTTAGTAGCTAATATAATGATGCGATGACTCATTTTACAGTGATCATACAACTGTAAAATGTAAATAAAATAAATAACTAACATGTATATAATAAGTTGTATCGTTCACTGCAACACTGTACAAATACAGAGTAAGCAGTTCATTGTTGAACTACTTTTATGTACACTATTTTGTACAATCAGATAAGTGGGCAATTGAGATAATGCAGTTTAAAAACTATTCGACGTGGGGGTATGATCACGTAGGGTGATGGCTATATTTCCGACAGTCCGTGAAGGCAGCCGCGGCGGCACAGACGTGGCCGTGGCGCTGCTGCTGCGTTCAAGTGACGCAGTGTCCCGTGCGGAGCAGAGAGGGGGCGAAGTTTCACTCTGCACTGCAGCCCGAGCTGCTGCCGGACTCCAACACAACAATGGCGACTCCCAGTCCCGACAGCAACTCCAGCGGCCGCGTGGTGGGATCCACGTCGCACCAGCTCCACCAGCACACGCAGAGCAGCAGCATGCAAGGTGGGCGATCACAGCCTGCGACCCGCGTCTCCGCCGGAGAGCCCGCAGATAGAGAGGACATGTAGCTCGTAGCTTCAGAGGCAGAGACAGACCCGTGAACACAGACGCCATAAACTAGTATTTCCGGTCAGAACTTTCAAGATAAGATCCAGATCGTAGTCCTTAAGGTCTAACCTTGCTATGTGGTCGTTTAAGAATCGTGAAAAGGTTTAATTATAAGTCAACTGATCTACTTATGCAAATTGCAGACTGTGGACTGGTCTCGTGAAGTGTAGCTGGTAATCTAAGTTATTTTATTGGCAGTAGAAAAGGAATGTGCTAAAACAGAACAAAACAGGTCATTTCTAGAATATCACTTAGATTTATCTGTTGCATGACAATGGCAGAAACATAGTAGGCCGATGCAATAAGGAATCTAAGGACCAGCGCGATTAATTTGACTATTTCTTACGACTGACACATACAGTTATATATTGATATATGCACACCCGTGAATTGAGATTTTGCATGAAATAATTCTCAACACTTTAGTGGAGCTAGCCATTTTTGAAGCTGCTCTGTAATTTTGTTTTTCTTAATTTATTTAGAATGATACAATGTGCTATTGATAGCTACATTTTTTGGTCCAGATTTGGCCCACATCCCACGTCCGGCCCACATACCTCATGGAATGATGGCACTTGGGTGGTCTGCTCCTGTTTGCCAGATCTCAGCCACAAGTAAGCCATAGCAATACTGCATGCCAACCAAAGATGGCTCAAGTTAGTTTTGTGCTATTTGGGCCACAGTCACCATTCATGATTTTGTTTTCGGGCCACAAGGACCCCGTACACACCTGGTATTAACATGTGGTTTTTGTGATCCGATCACAAGTGGACAGCTCTAAATACAGATGTGACAGTACTCAGATTGGATGGCAATCCAATCACACCAGACCACATTTGAAGTCTCATGTTTCCAAATTGTTTTAACAGTGTAAACGCGAATGCGTCCTGAACCACATATGAAGGACCTCCTACTCAGCTGAGGTCCTCTGACCTGCTGCAGCTTCACTATGAATCACATTTTTTTTGTCTTTACTTTGATTTGTATGTGACCACTGCCAATATGATATATACATATATATACTGATCACCACACAATGAGCGATTCTTTCCTTAAATCGGTGAAATCTTGAGTCACAGGTGGACGGCATTCATTGAGACTCTCATGACTTGTCTCTGTACTTCCTGCTTGCATCATCAGACACACTTATAATAACAACATAACTTGGTCTTCCTGAACAGAAATGGCGTACGTGTTTGTTTGTCTAGAGCAGGGAGGTAAGATAGGACCTGAGATCCGACCACAAGACGCATATGGGGCCACTTTTTAACGCTAATCCAGCTGTCCACTTGTGATCGTATCACAAAAACCACATGTTAATACCAGGTGTGTATGGGGCCAAGAAGGCCAGAACCGGCCCCCATCCTTACACATATATTTTAGAATATTAAAATATGCAGACTTCAATCATAGTCAAGTACTGAACAACTCACATTCCTTTATGTGAGTCACAGTGTGGCTGTGTGGTGTAGCAAAACTAGTGTAGTGTATGAAGTCGCGCTTTTATTTTGAAGGCTGAAACTCGCCTAGCTTGAAGTAGCTCCCTGAAGCTACAGCGGGTTAACAGTGATGTGTAGCCCCGGAGCCAGAAGGCCTGAAGTGGAGCTGTGCTCTCTGTCTGCCATGTTTCAGTCACACACCGAACCACCAAGCCTCGACACGAAACACAGGAAGTCATCAGATGTCTTGTTATTCAGCGATATTAACACAGCAGGCTGCTCCATGCACCAGCAGGGCCTAGTCTTTAAAGTGTGTCCCTCCTCAGCCAGGCCAGTGATCACACACAGACACACACACACAGACAAACACACACAGACACACACACAGCTCAGGTCAGACCAGACATATTGATCGAAGTGTGTGTATGGAGATGTGTTAGCCTCGGTGCTGTGACACTGCTTACTCTCTCAGTGTCAAAGTATTCCAGTCTGTTTACCTCTTGCTCCTCTGACCGGAAACAACATGTCTGTCTCCGTGCTAACGTGATAGAAACCTGTTACACTGCAAGCTAAGCTAAGCCAGAATGTCGTGTGATGCAACCTAGTCTCCCGAATACACACTCTAAATCCATTATCGGACGGAAAGCCAAGCCTGACCGCGGCCAAACGAAATCCACTTCCCAGTCAAAAAAAAAAACAAGCGTCCAGTAGCATCTGTGGATCTTAGCTGTAGCTAGTTTGGGAATAGGTTCAATTAATGTTTTATACTAGCATTAGCAATTAGCACTTTTGATCGCTCGTGTCCGAACACATATTGTCGCCACAGCGGGTCAGACCCTGTGATATTTACCTGGAAACCAACGCGTCAGGCTGGGTCGCGTCCGATGATGGATGTGTTGATTGATTGATTGTTTTAGCTCATTAGCAGCCGAGCAGTTGTTGTGTCCAGATGTGTGTGGCAGAGGTGTAGTATCAAATGTCTTATCTAAACCCTACAGAACCCAACACCTGCTGGAGATGTCAGAATGAAACAGGTATTCACTCTCTACTCTACTAGGTCTTAGTCTTAGTCTGCTGCTGGAGGTCATTTGTTTACAACTGTGTTTGACACATGTTGGCACAGCCCCCCCCCCTCCTCCAGATGTTCCCTAAACACCCTCTTCTGTTGATCTGTATTTCCTCCTTGTTTCTTTTCCTTTTCAAACAACCCCTGCACTTTTTTTTAAACCCTCTTACTCCATGCATGTCTTCCATGTAGTCTCCATGTTAGAATGAGCGGATGTAGACACAAGCTGACAGATGCCATGTGATGAGGCGCTGCATCCGAGCGGCCACGTTTCCAGGAGCGTCGTCCTCGGCTGCACAGACATCAGAATGTGGCTGTTTCAGTGTGCCGCTCATACACAGACTGTCACTAGTGTGCTTATCCACACACTTCTCTCCTGATGGTGTGCCACTCTTGTTATGCTGCCAACTGTACACTCATAGTGATTTTCCATCTCTGGTACACAATATGTAAAAAAAATGGGAGTTTAATCTTGTTCCACTGGCTCATAACATTCCCAACTGGCCAATGACAGTTCTTACTAAAGCCTGACTGATGTTGATTTTTCGGGGGCCGATGCTGATATTAGGGAGTGAAAAGGCAACTTGAGCGATTCGCCGCTCCGTTGCGTTCACAACAACACAGAAATCTCCAGGGCATTCAGGTGAGGGGCGGCGCAGCAGGTAGAGGCAGGACATATAAGTTCTGCTGTGTTTTTGTTTACAGCACATTGACACCGGTAACGGTCCTTATCACCAGAAGTTCTCTTGATATCTCCGTCAGTGTCTTCTACATGTGTGGCACCGCTTTTTCATCCTCAGATTATTGTATTGTTTTTGCATCTTGCTCGCGATAGAAATATCATCAACACGCCCACACGCTCGCGGTGAATCCTCGCAGCGGACGTGCTGCTGTGTTTTTACCAGGGGATTGGCTGGAGAAACTCTGCAGGAAGTCTGGAGGCTCTCAGTCCGACATTTGCTTTCACACATACAGCCCCTCTGTCCGGAGGATCTCTGGAGATCGGTGCATGTCTGAAAGCAGCTTATGATTTTTTCCCCATAGTCACAGAGGTAAATGTTGGACCCATTTTAGTTTACAAGCCACATATCTCACAGATATCCTGAAACTAAAATGGCCATTTTGTGGTTTGTCTCAGAAAAACACAGACAACTTTTCTCTCGGTTTGTTCTGGTCTAGTTTCACTACAGGGCGGCCACTTTCCAAGGAAACGACTTGTATACGAAAGCACGAGTTAGAAGTTAAAACTGAAACAAAATTTGAAGTATCAGTTGTAACAGGGATATAAATAATTGAACAGGTGCCTGTTAATCATCAAAACATCTGCATTGTAAAGTACGCCGCTAGGTGCTTGCAAAAGATGTACATGCAGTGTGCAAGTGACATTAGAAGCTACTGTTTAAAGCCGATTGTCAAATTATATTAATCAGCAAAGGAAACATGGGTACCAAATATTCACCAACTTTCCAAGTGTTTCTGATTTGAGTTTGCATTCACGTAGGTTTTTAACAGACGTTGGTGGCCCTGATCACGGAAATCCTCTGTGGACCAGATCGTCTCACTTCGGTTCGGCCTTCGTGGTCTACGCTGCCAATGGAGGAAGCGGGTAGACCGCATCCTCCCAAGGATGCAGCCCCTGAACTGGGATACAGCTGTTGTCTGCCAGTGGAACGTGGCTCTTTAAAGAGTAGAGCGGCAACATAACCTCTCAGGAAAATGGCTTAAATCACTAAAACAAGACTGGCACACCACAAGGGATTTCTTCTTGATCACAGTATCTCATTCTTGATCACACTCGTTTTTCTTTCCTTTGCTGTACTGAAGTGACAACTGCAGGGGGAGGGAGGGATGGGGGGTAACAGTAAAGAGAGAGAGAACAAAATCATTTTAATACATTCTGCAGTCGGGCTAAGATTGACTAAACCTAATAAAACTGGTTTCTCAC